TTTTATTTGGAAAAAAGTCTGTAGAGATTAGGGTATTATCTGCAACTGTAACATCCCCTTTGTTTAGTTTTGTTTTGTTCTGTTTGGGGGGGGGGGAGTTGTTTGTTTTTTGTTTTGCTTTCTAGTGGCAGAAAACACAGGCATCAGTAGTTCACTTAATGGAGCTCTTGACCAACCTAGACTGAATGAAGTTATACCGATACCCTGCTTTCTATTTCTTTTCTGCTAACAAATGTTAGGACAAAGACACCCTCATATAAGCTGCTGATCTTCATTTTCTTCCCAATGCAGAAAGATTGCATCTTTTGATAGCATGTTTACTCTAGTAATTAATATCACATGTTTCCCTTCTTGCCCCCCCCCCGCACTTCCTTTTTCTTCTTCACTCTCTCCTTCAAAGGCAAGCTATAAAGACAGACTCCAGAAAGTAAGACCATGTGTACATCCCCACAGTTTCAAAGGTTTTCTTATTTTCAGAGTATGAACTGCACAATGCCCAGTCCATAGCAAACCTTACCATGGCCATGAAGTCACTAGAAGGCCTTGGACTCCCTCATTATTTTTCAGCCACCCATTGCTAGATGAAGATACTGCCACCAAATGGCTGCATGAACTCCTGGCGTTACGTGCACTCTTTCAGCACTCCCAAACACTGTATAAATAGTAATTGTGGTATTAGCATCAATCAAGGCAGCATGTTTGAAAAGGAACAGCTGCTGCTCCTTGACATGCACAGTCCTTCTCTGACACATCACAGACTTGTATGCACAATCTTGCAGAGGAAGCTGACGGTGTGCACCAGTTTCTCCATTTACAACTTTTTGGCACAATCACTTGAAACACACATATGAAATGTAAGCCGTTGCCCAATACTCAGTGAGTGATTTTCCAGTGACTAAACCAACCGGGATACACGGAAGCAGAGCCTTACTGGGAAGGACAAAACTTTGCCGCAGAGCAGTACACTTTTATGTGTGTTAGCTATGATGGAATAGGAAATGCACGATCACAAAAGAAAAATGAAAAAAGTGGCATTCGAGCCTATGCTGGAAAAGCGGGCAGAGTGTGTTGCTTGCCATGAATTAAGATACAAGCAACGTGTAAGAGGCTCCTGTAAGAGGTTCCTGTGACAGCCAGTCCATTCAGCAGAAGTGGGTCACCTGGTGCCCTCCACACACCTTGCACTGCAAGTCCCAGTTGGCATGACCAATGGGCAAGGATTATGGGAGCTCCAGTCCAAAATACCTGGCGGGCCAGGCAACAATGATGACACAATATACTTTCAACTGGAAAATTCGCTGTCTTCCAGGGAAAAGACTGTGCAATTCTTTGCAGGTACAAACAAGAGTTAAGTCCTGCTGCCTTCCATTAGGTTTCACTCCCATAAAAGCAAAGGCAGGAGTTCAGCCACAGTATTTCCAAATCTGTTTCTTCACATTTTTATGGGAAAAGAGTTTAAAACAAGGCAACACTCCCTATAATTATACTTCAAATGCAAGGTGTCACCATAAAATTTAGTATTATTTATTTTTATGATTTAATGTGCTCTAAATCATTCAGAGTTAGTTCAGCTGTCATGAAAAATGCTGGTCTAGTAACTTTGGAGACTGGAAAAACTACACATGGGCTTATCCAATACAGTGGGCAGTGCAAAGCAGTTTAAAGAAAATGCAAGTTATTTTCCATTTATTCTCTGCAATACAGAATTCTGGGGTCTCAGAAAACAACTGAACTTCAAAGTCCATTTTTTCTTTCTGCACATTGATCACCCAAAAGGCTTGTTAGTCCCAACCCAGCCCCAGGAACGGCTCAGCACTTAAGGGCACTATACGCATAATACGAAGTCTAAACTCGTTGTAATAGAGTAATACATGCCAAGTTGTAAATATATTAGATTATACAAAACTGTTTCTGAATTTCTTGGTGGCATGTGTGCTGCTTGCAAGTTAGTACAGGTCTAACTTCTTCCTGAATGTCATGATTCAAGTGTAATTTTTGTGTGTTTCCATAGTACCACATAACACACTTCCTTTAACAATGGAGCTTTCCAAATGGGAGCACCCCCAGCTGTATGGAAGAAACACAAAACAGGACTTCCTTCTTATTGACTATATGTGAAATGAATCAAGATGTTTTGCATCAGAAAGTTTCTCTTTCTTTCCTTCATTCTATATATATAATTTTATTTTTAACATTTTCTTATATTTAAAAATTATATTTTAGACACACACACACACACACACACACACACACACACACACACACGGAGAGAGGGAACAAAAAACACTCTACAGCCGAGAAAGCAAAATGTATTATCCTGATATTAGGTATCCCAAAAATTTGCAAATAATGTCCATTTTTCAGTGAATGTATTTATGCATTCCATTTCTTTATCTTCTATAATAATTTTGTAAGATTGCAATGTCTCATATTCTATCACACAAGGTATGTTTGGAGCAGCATTCTTTTAATTTGCTGCTATACACATATCAAAGCATACTGTATTTACAATAACTACAAAGACAGTATCATCAACCAAATCTGTAAGAGGACACAGTAATACTCTCCTCTTTTGGACTGCTAAGATTGTGTGGTATTGAGCAACTGGTGATATTATTAACAAAATTCAAATATTGGTCCAAAAGGCCTGTATGCAACAAGACAGCTATATGTCACCTGGTACTGGAGGTGGCATATACGTAGCTATCATGACTAAGAGCATAAGCAAAGCCATACTGGATCAGACCCAAAGTCCATCTAGTCCAGCACTCCATACACATGGTAGCAAACCAGCTGCCCACAGAATTCTCCAAGCAAGACGGGTCCAGGCCTCCTCCTGCCTGAGCTCCTCAGCAACTGGTGTGGGCAGGCAGGCCACCTCTGGTACATAACCAGCAAGGCTAGTAGCCACAGATAGCCACCTCCCTCATGGACCTGCCCTAACCCTTTCTAAAGCCACCCAAGATTGGTGGCCATCACCACTTCCCCCAGGAGCAAATTCCATGGTTTAAATATATGCCGTGTAAAGAAGTTCTTCTTATATCTGTCCTAAACCTCCCACCAATAAGCTTAATGAGATAACCCCAGGTTTGAGCATTACGGAAGAGGGAGAAAAATGTTTCTACTTTCTCCACACCATGGCATTATTAAAAACCTCTATCATGTTTCCCTTTACTGCCTTTTTCCTAAGCTAAACAGTACCAGTTGGTGTAGCCACTCCTCATATGGAAGTTGCTCCAGCCCTGATCCTTTTTGTTGCCCTTCTCTGTACTTTTTCCAACTCAAGTAGCTACTAATAGCCTTACTCTCGATTCATTTATCTAACCCCATCAAAAGCTATTCAAATTAGTAGCTGTTATTAGAACCTTTGCTCATTTAAAAACTGTCAGGAGGGGAATTATCAATGCTAACTCCAACCTGGAATGCCTGAGCAGGACAAACCTGGGGCCTCTGGGCAGAAGAAAGGGGCTTTTGCATCCACCTCTGCCTCCGATATGTGGAGCTTTTGTGGCTGTAACTGCTAACCTTCACCAAACCACAGATCTGGGGTAGCAGGATTACTCTGTAATAAAATACAGAGTAGAATTTGAAGAGCACCATTTACATTGTCTAAATAAATAGATCAGTGAAAAAAGGTGCATTAATGGCAAAGACCATGTAGGATTTGCATGTGGTACAAATCTGCATGGATGGATGTGAGTGAGCTCTACAAAACTAGACTAAATACAAGTAAGAGTCAAGCCTAGTCACACTTTGTATCTGCATCAGTGGCATTTTTTCCACCTACTTCCCACTCCCATGCCATAAAAAATTTACGGGTTTTAACAAGAGACATAATAAAGGGTGTGGGATAATAACAGAACAAAAAGGATAGACTGGATGTCAGCCTTATATATTGCACACTCACTGAAAATGAGTGAATGATTTAAGACTTTCTTATGTCAGTGGGACTACACTACACACAATCAACACTGGATACTACTGAAAGAGTTCAGCAGCTACAAGAAAACTCTGAAGATTATTACATGCCAAATAAACTTAGAAATAATTCAAACCACTGTAAGAGATTAAACTTGAGCTCCTTGTCTTATTTAGATGCACTAGATTTCATTTGAGCACAAGTTCAAATGGAAGGAAGATAACTGGGGGTGGGAGCAGGATCAGCTTCATTGCACATCCAATAAAAAATAAAGTCCCATTTCCTATAATGAGCAGCAAAACCTGATCATTTTTAAAGTGAGGCGATTCCATATAAAGAGAACACAAATGCGGCAATCAATTTTGCACACCAAGTCTTCTCGCAGGCACTTTCTCATTAATTTTTATAGTGCTTGAAACAATGGGCTGCATTGATGAACAGACAGATCGCTTTTTAGAAAAGGTTATGTATTAACTATGCATAAGCACAGAAAGAATTACTGAGAAGAGGCAATATATAGCTGCCTTTACAATTTTAGCTAAATTAGAATGCTACCACTTAAACTGATCCTGTATACTAAACCAGAGAGTTATATTTAGATAGATTTAAAAATGAAATTAAAAAGTAAACCTCATGATAGCACAAAGTTCTGAACAGAGGTCAAACTAAGCCTTAAAATTACATACATTACTGTGAAAACTAATCTACGATGAAATACTATTGATACAATCTAAACAGAAATTGTAGACTCCATGGTCTATAACTAAATCATTGTGTACTTTATAACTTACTATAGGGCAAGGGGAATTGTGAAAAACACAACATACACCCCAGAAGTTCCTCTCCACAGAATTTCAAATGGGTTGTTTATAACCGCCCCCCCAAAAAAAACTGAGTGACTTCAGCATATGCAATATAATGAGATAACCAACACTTGAGACACTGAAAGTCCCTGCCACTGGAACCTTTCACACACGACAGTGCAGTTACCCTCATTATAATACATGGGCAGCAGCGCGAGAGCTCCTGCTCCCATGTACACTTGCACTTTTCTGGGTGTTGCTTTACACCCACGACTTACGAGATTTTCCAGCTCGAAGCCTCGGCGGTAGAGTGTAAAGAGAAGCCGTTCCAGAGGCAGTTGGGTGAAAAGCAGCTCTGGCGGCGTTTGAACTGAAGTTGCTCTGGCAGACAAACCATTCTGATGGCATTTTGAAACAGGGTTGAGCATGGAGGAGAAAAAGAGAAGGAGGCAGTGAGAAAGAGGAGGTGACAAGGAGGAAGAGAAAGAAATGGTGAAGCCAAAATATTGATGAGGGAAAGGAATGGCCTGGGAAGAAGGCATTGATGCAGAAGGGAAAGAAGATTGACAGTAAAGAGATGCATGTAAACAGAGGCAGAGAGGTGAGGAAGAGAGAAAATGACACCTTGTATAATGCACACTTGAATTCTGCCTTTCTTCTAGAAATCAGGTGGGGGAAAAGAACACGGCTGAAATCCACACACCAAAACCTTTTAAAATTTGGTCATACAACAACTGATTTATCACATTTTAAAAATATGTCCTCCCAATGATCCTACAGCTTACAAGAAGCACGGGTAGACTGGTTTTCCGATGTATCATCAACCGTTCTACTGCAGTTAGCATAGCACTGGGTAGGAAGCTTTCAACCTGTTTGGCCTATCAGAAATGTCAGGCTACGCTTTTAGGAATGCTTCTTCTCCTCTTTTGCAGATCAAACGTAATCATGACAGCTTCCCAATAGATGACTTTTTATTCTCTATTTACTTTTGATAGTAATGCCAAACAAGCAAACCCCACAACATTTTCAAAATTTCAAAAAGATAAGAGGATGCAGATGTATGTTGTAGGAGAAAACCACTATGGAGTTTTAGTGCAAACTATGGCATAGTGCGTATTGAAGATTTTTTATTGGTAATTCTGCACAGTCTTAAAGGACTAGTGAAATTAAGCAAGAACTACTATGCAATAGTTAGAACTGTGAGCAGCAGTGAAGGTGTTGGACCACTGACAACTAAGCTGTAGTTCCAGTAGTCTACAAAGCAGGGATCCTCAAACCCGCGGGCTGCAGTTTGAGGACCCACGCTATAAAGCAATGCCTAATCCTAATCTAAGGCTGCAATCCTATAAACACTTGCATGAAATTACCTCCTAGTAAACCCTTGTTCAAGACAAGCATACAACTGTGTTGTAAAGCTACAATCTTAAACACACTTAGGTTTTTAATCTTCTGAATATGTATGCACAGAATTGTGCGGCACAGTTTCCTCTGGTATCACTCAGTATACCAAAAAGTCTGAAACACTTTCATACATTCTGAATACAAAGATGCTAACAAGGCAATATAAAACAGCAAGAGTTTGAACAATAATTATCTTTCATTTTCAAACTCATTCATAGTTTTACCAAGCAGTATAGGCAATATTTCTTACATGAAATTGAGATAACATCTGATGTCTAATTTAACACATCATGGGGCATCCCTCTAGCTTCCATTCTGTACTGCAATGTATATACATATAGTCCTACAGACTTGTCCTTCTAGGCATTGTCAAAAAGTCTCTAGACTAAAACATCCCCAAATTTCAGCCTACTGTTGAACATAAGCATGTCCAGGCACAATAGTACCTCATAATCTTTACAGGAATAGTTCTAGGGGGTACTTTTACATCCCAAACAATAAGCTCCACAAAGTAACAAAAGAAGGACAAGGATAACAGGTCATCCTTGTCTCTTTATAAAGTGAAGATTCTGTAGTAAACATAACTAAAATCCCTTGAGGGGAAGCTTTGCTATGATTTTTTTAAGTTAATAGGCCAAACTACAGTCATATGGGGAAAGAACAATGGCCCAAGCATTGTTTGGCAGATTTCTTGTTTTGCATGGTGTCGATTGCTTCAGCAAGGTAACTAAACATCTGTTTAGTGCATAAGAACCTTATTGCTTTGCCATTTCACAACATAAACAAAGAGAAGGATACTCCCCAGGACATAGTGATTATTAGACAATCAGCTGCAAAATAAAAACAACACAAGCACAGCTCATTACCATATAAATATTTTCCCCCTCAGGGAATATTCAATTTAATGAGGATAGGAGTGGCTTCTGGGAAGTTGACAAAATGTGTGACTTATGGCGATCAATGGTAGCAGATGATGATGTAACAATAGAGGATCCTCTCCCTTTTGAAGCCATTTATTCTCTGAAGTCCTCATATTCCTTACCTTAGAGTAGAATGTCTGCTAGAACGGGAAATGCTATTGCCAACAGGAGAGGGTAAGTTACTTCCTCGATGGAGATCTTCAATGGATCGACTCCAAGGTTTAGATTTGTCCATTGAGTTTTCCATGTTGTTCTCCAAACTCTCAAAGTCAAAGCTGGAAGGAATCAGATAGTCTTATGTCATGTGGCCTCAAAACAAAACAAAAAGATCAAGAGTGTACACCAAAACATGTAGGCAGCTTTTTCTTTTTGCTGCTGCACATCTGCAGATTTACTGTGTCCCAGTGGATTATACTCAATGATAAAGCATCAGAGCTCACCATAATATACTTCCCCTTGAGCTGAAACCATGTGGTGGATTCACATATATTTCATAGTAAATTTGGATCTTTAGAAATTGAAAGAGGGTTGGAAAGAGAGCCTGTCACAGGGATACTACTGAGGACATTTTACAGTCAATATTGCATGAATTCCAGCTGGATGAGAACCCTCCAGTGCTATGGTAGGGATGAAAGCTCAGAACTCTGCATTTTTCTTTTATCAATTTATTTGATACATTTATATTCCACCTTTCCTCCAAAGGGCCCAAGCTGGCAATAAACTGGGTATTCCAATATAGTTCCTGCGGAACAAAGTCTTCATCCCAACCTGCTGTCCAAGCCCAAACTCTAAACAAATGCAATGCATTGTCTATTGCCCAGCCCCTGCCCCATCTATTGCAGTTTGACAGCACAGCCAAGTGATCATGTTCCATTTGGAATATACCATCATTAAAACAACCCCAGGGGCAAAATCTGTCCCTCCTGAAATGCTAATGCAGTCTCCAGCTTACCTAAATAGCCCCTCCCCTTTCTCTCAACCACCTACCATTTTTGTGGAGTTTTCCTGCATTATAAAAGGCTGGAATGACTCTCTTAATTCCTCACAGAAAGAGCTTTAAGCTAAGGCATGCTGGAACTTCGGGTATGTCAGCCCCAGCCATTTGGCCTTTGGCCCGGCCCAGCACTGGAGTGGTAGCCTCTCAAAGCTTCTCCTACTTGGCCTGCATCCCAGGAGCTGAAAGAGGTTCTGCACCCGTGCGTTAAAGCTGCACATTTTTCTGCCATATGCTTTTTTTTTCCTTTGAAAACTTTATGCATCATTCTGATTCAAACAAAATTCCAGGCAAGCTCTTTCTAAGCAATGGGAATGCCTGCAGATATCCAGCCTAAATCCAGCCTTAGAGCCTACAGCCCTGATCTAATAGAAGCATGAGTCAACACAACTGTCCTGTTGCATTCACGGTCCTTCAGGGCATGTGGACCCAGAAAACAAAAGGCTTTCACAGACAGGAAACTGGGCTCCGCAACAACCCCATCCAAACCATCTTCATTTCTTCCACCCCACCTGCTCTGTAAAACACAGTATTGGAAGGGGATTTCATAGGGAAGTTAATTACATGTGGCATCCACAGACTCCTCTCATATCACCAGGCAGCCACCATGCTGCTGCTATCATCATACTATACACATTCTCAAAATTAATTCAAAAATCAAGAGAGGGGCTGGTAAAGCAGAAGCAGGGACAAAAGGCTTCTGCTATCACAGACGAAGCAGATTTCACTTTGTGTGACCTCACCACAGGAAAGACAGAATTGTCAGTTTGTAGGAAAAAGCACCAGATTTGATGAGGGGGCCATGGCTCAGGGGTAGAGCCCACTCTGCATGACCGAAGTGCCAGGTGCCACCCCTGGCCCCTCCAATTAAAAGGACTATAGGTAGGATAAAAAAGGCAGGATAAAAAAGGCCCAGGACTAAGGAAGTGCACAGCATCTGGGGCTGGGAATACACTGGATTTCCTCAGCTTGGCTTCGGAGACTGCAACCCACTTTCTCTCTTCCCTAAGTCTACTTTCTTCCAAACATTTGCAAGGGCATATGGCAATAGTTTTGCTTCCACAGTGTGACTTGCAGGCTGTGTGTACTTTGCACAAAGAATCCACTTGCATTCCCAAGCATTTGCAAATTTGTTCACAGCTCACCTCATTCCCTGTTCAAGGCCAAACATGAGAAATGAGTTTGGCAAAGGCAAGAGAACCAGATTCTGACCTAATCTTCACATCCCTACTGAGGACAGTGGAAAATTGCTGCAGGTCAGAGCAGCAGGACAGCTCAGGATAACCACAGGACTGCAAATAATTTGTGCCACTGCTTTCTCCATTTTCTCCATTTTAACTGACTTACACTTGACTTTCTAAAGAGACAGACGCCGCGCTGTCATCGCTGCTGCTGCCACCGCCGCCGCCGCACTTGAGGCGCACCGCCGAGCCACCCCAGGCCCCGCTGGGCCACCCCAGGCACGGAGGATGCCAGGGCCACGCCAGGGCCACACCAGGGCCACGCCAGGCCCGCCGTCGATGGAGCAGAGGAGGGCGCTGCCATCTTGCCGCCGGGTGGGTTTCCGCGCCACTCCCTGCTCCCCGCCCTGCCGGCGTCGGTGAGAGCAATGCCGGATTGGGGCGGGGTGCACGGGCAGGTGCCAGCTTAACCCGCCAGACGCGGCCTGGGGCTGGGCGGGCTTGGAGCTCCCTCCCCCCTCGAACACCCGCCGTGCTCCGCGGCTCGGATCACTTGCCGCGCCGCGCTGTCATCACTGGCCGGCGACCGAAAGGCGATGGCCAAAGGGTGGTGCCGCCATTCGTGGCTGTTCGTGGCCATGCGGGGCTGGGCTGGTGGGGGACTAGGTCGGTGGGGGGATTTTAATTTTGTATGGGGGGGAAATGGGGAGTTTTTGATTGTTTTAAAGTTTTACTGTATTTTAATCTGTTTTTATGGAGTCGTCCCTGGCCATGTTGACGCTTGAGTTTCCTGGAGAGCGCGGGGGCGCCGCCATTGGGGTGGTCATGGGCAATGGACATTACAGCGGTGGGGGCTTAACGTGTCCGCGTAGAAGTTGGAGGGACAGATGTCTGACACCTGTCCCTCCTTCTCGTTCTGCCCCCAGCCAGAGGGTTCCAGGTAGCCTTGTCAACCGCCCCTCGGGCCTGACGGTGCTGCTGCTCAATGCCAGGTCGGTCTACAATAAATCTTCCCTCATCCATGACTTGTCTGTGGATGAGGGGGCCGACCTGGCTTGCATAACAGAGACCTGGGCGGGAGTGGGGGCATGTTGCCCTCTCTCAAATGTGCCTGCCCGAGTATCTGGTTCAGCACCATCCACGCCTGGAGGGGAGGGGAGGGGAGGGGGGGTCGCTTTGGTTTACCAAGCCTCCATCTCCCTCAGAGGACTTCTGGTCCCTTCGAGGCCAGGGCTGGAGTGCCTGTACTTGGTGTTGGGTGACCGAGAAAGATTGGGGATTCTGGTGGTGTACCGTGCACCCTTCTGCCCAACAGTCTCCCTGCCTGAGCTGACGGAGATCGTCTCGGACCTGGTGTTGAGGACCCCCAGGATGTTGGTCCTGGGGGACTTCAAGCTCCATGCCGAGACTGGTCTGACCGGGGCGGCTCAGGACTTCATGGCCTTCATGACGGCCATGGGGCTGTCTCAACATGTCACCGGCCCAACCCATGAACTTGGACACACTCTGGACCTGGTTTTCTCAACGGGGCAGGAAGAGGGTGGTCTGAGGGTGAGGAATTTATGTCTGACACCCCTGTCATGGTCAGATCACTTCCTGGTGAGGTTTGTGCTTGAGAGCGGCCTCTTCCCCTGTAAGGGTGCGGACCCGATTGTGTGGGTCCACCCCCAGAGCCGGATGGATCCGGATGGATCCCTGAGTTTCCGGCTGTCAAGACTGGTGCTCCTGTCGAGGCTCTGGTCAAACCGTGGAACGGGGAGATGACCAGGGCTGTTGACACGATCGTTCCTAAGCGTCCTCTCCCGCCGGGCAGAGCCCACTCTTCCCCTTGGTATACACCTGAATTGCGGGCGATGAAGCAGGCTGGGAGACGGCTAGAGTGTAGGTGGAGGAGATCACGGGATGAATCTGACCGAACACACTTAAGAGCCCACTATCGGGCCTATGCTGTGGTGGTGAGGGCGGCGAAAAAGAAATTCTTTTCCGTTTCCATTGCCTCTTCAAAATGCCATCCGGCGGAGCTTTTTTGAGTGGTGCAAGGCCTGGTTCATCCTGGCCCTAAGAAAGATCTGGTTCCACCCTCGAAGGCCCGCTGTGACGACTTTGCCAAGCATTTCAGGGAGAAAATCGCTCAGATTCGTCACGAGCTAGACTCTACTAGTGACTCAGAGGTCTCTGGGGAGTTACCAATGCCGCTGTCTGGTCCAAAATCAATGGATGAATTTCAGTTATTGCGGCCTGATGATGTGGACAAGGTGCTTGGATGAGTACGTCCCACCACTTGCCTGTTGGACCCTTGACTGTCTTGGTTAATAAATAACGGCAAGCACGGGATTGGGATCTGGATCTTGGAAGTGGTTAACGCTTCTCTGAGGGAGAGTCGGGTGCCTGCCCCTTTAAAGGAGGTGGTAGTCCGACCGGTCCTGAAGAAAGTGTCACTGGATCCAGAGATGGCCACTAATTATAGACCAGTGGCCAACATCCCGTTCTGGGCAAGGTGTTGGAGCGGGTGGTGGCGGGACAACTCCAAGCACTCTTAGATGAAACTGATTATCTGGATCCTTTTCAGTCCGGCTTCAGACCCGGGTACGGTACTGAATCTGCCTTGGTCGCCCTGTACGATGACCTGTGCAGGGAGAAGGACAGGGGGAGTGCGTCCCTGTTGGTTCTCCTGGACCTCTCAGTGGCTTTCGATACCATCGACCATGGTATCCTTCTGGATAGGCTTGCGGGATTGGGGGTCGGAGGCACTGCTTTGCAGTGGTTCCGCTCCTATCTCAATGACCGTTTTCAGAAGGTGGTGCTGGGGGACTATGACTCTGCGCCATGGCAGCTATGCCATGGAGTACCGCAGGGATCCATTTTGTCCCCTTTGCTGTTTAACATCTACATGAAACCGCTAGGAGAGGTCGTCAGCAGGTGTGGGCTGCGGAATCATCAGTATGCTGATGATACCCAGCTCTACCTCTTGTTTTCCACCAATCCAGATGAGGCAGTGGCTGTGCTGAACTGGTGCCTGGCCAAGGTAATGGGCTGGATGAGGGCCAATAAACTGAAGCTCAATCCATACAAGACGGAGGTCCTGTTGGTTGGCGGATCGGGCTTTGGGGAGGGTGAATTGAACCTAGTCCTGAATGGGGTTACACTCCCTCTTAGGGACAGGGTCCACAGCTTGGGAGTGCTCTTCAACCCAGAGCTTTCAATGGAAGCTCAGGTGACAGCGGTGGCGAGGAGCGCTTTCTTTCAGCTTCGGCTGATCCATCAGCTGCGCCCCTACCTGGAGTACGACTGCCTGGCGACAGTGACACACGCGTTGGTGACTTTCTGCCTTGACTTCTGTAACGCGCTCTACGTGGGGCTACCCTTGAAGACGGTCTGGATACTTCAATTCGTTCAAAATAGAGCTGCCAGGCTGCTGACGGGGACTGGGCGTTATGTTCACATGACTCCAGTCCTCCGTCAGCTTCACTGGCTTCCCATTGAGTCCGGGCCCAATTCAAGGTGTTGGTGATGACCTATAAAGCCCTAAACGGCTTGGGTCCTGGTTACTTGAAGGAGCGCTTACGTCCATATATGCCCGCCCGCCCGCCCCCTGAGATCAGCGGGAGAGGCCCTTCTCCGGGAACCCTCCGTGAAGGAAATTAGGAGGGTAAGTACCCAGAGGAGGACTTTCTCTGCGGTGGTGCCTAACTTATGGAATGCGCTCCCCAGAGAGGTCCGCCTGGCGCCGTTGTTATTTGTTTTTCGGCGCCAGGCAAAAACCTTTTTATTCAAACGTCATTTTAATTGTTAATGATATTTATTTATTTTATTCGTTGGCCAGGGCGACTTGTTTTATACTGTTAACTTGTTTTATATAGTTAATGTATAGTATTTTAATTGATTTATTTGTAAGCTGCCCCAAGGCTTCGGCAAATGGGGCAGCATAGAAATTTTATAAATAATACTAAATAAAAAAATAGACAGTGTTGCCTACTGGTGACAGTTCTGCGCTAGGACTTGGGAAACCCAAGTTCTAGTCCTTAGTCAGCCATGAAGCTCACTGGGTAACTTTGGGTCAGTCACAGACTCTCAGCCTAACCTTCCTCATAGAGTCAGAGGACAACATGGAGAGAGAAAATGTAAGGCTCCTTGCTTTCCTTCCAAGAGAGGGGAAAAGGCAGGTTATAAATGTCACAAAAAATAAAGAAACGGGCTATCTATTATGGGTATGGATGCAGTGGACCCATTACATCATAATGACATAAAAAGTGGAGATTTCTGACATAACGTTTTGAAAACAGACCTTTGATGTTAGAACAACAGATCACCAAATTTGTTTATCCTTCACTGCTCTGTGATGCCAAGAAAGAAAATCAATGCAATATACATTTTATTCTGCAAAGAAAAAGGAGACTGTGACTGCATAAACTCTGTCTTACTTACGTGACTGCATATTGTGCAAAAGACAAGTACTCCACCAAAACATCCAGGCCTTTGTTTTCTTCATTCAAAAACTCCCTGACCCATCTGTTAAAAAATAATTCAAACAGGTAAGAATATTTCTATTTCTGCAAGGAAAGCTGTCCCCTTCAAAGAAAAAGCCCACTTCATCCAGTCATTATAGGAAATTAAAAATTGAAGAAAAGCATCTTTGTCCTTACTCAAGAATGTCTGGAGAAAGAAAGTAACAGTGACCCCAAAGCCTGACAACAGCAAGACCAGTGCCTATTCTTAAGGTTGGCCCGTCCATTACGGGGTGAGACAAGCCGATGAGAGCCACTGAGGAGTGGAAGTGAGAGCTCAGGACTGAGACTTGAGGCATCTAGATTCTAGTCTCCACTCACCCACGAAGTTTCCTGGGTGTCTTTGGGCCAGTCACTTAAGTCTACGCTTATCATACTTCATGAAGTTGTTGTGAGGATACAGTGGAGAGGAGGAGAAACTTATAAACTGGCTTCAGTTCTCACAGGAGGGGAAAAAGTGAGAAACAGGTGTAATAATAAGATAAACATAAAAATTCTTCTTGGACAAGATCTGAAGGAACCATTGGGAATGCAGGTGGCACAGTGGTTTAAACTGCTGAGCTGCTGGGCTGGTTGATCAAAAGGTCACCGGTTCGAATCTGCACAACGGGGTGAGTTCCCGTTGCTCCGTCCCAGCTCCTGCCAACCTTGCAGTTCGAAAGCATGCAAATGCAAGTACATAAAAAGGCACCACTTCGGTGGGCAGGTAACCAAAATCAGCGATCATTTTATTATCCCTTTACAGTGCAGGAGATGAGACCTGGTGCCAACTCGGTTTTCAGCTCAACTGCTGAAGCATCTAGGGCCACATCTGCATAAACTTTGTTCCTGTGTGCAGGATGTGTTTTAGTACTTGGAAAAACCTGAAAATGCACTTACATAGAAGGACAGCCAATGAATCAAGCAATAACGCAGAAGACAACACCAAGCAGTAAACTATCAAGACAATTGGACTGTGCAAAATAAAACCAAATGTGTTTTGAACATTCCACAGCAAATCTTTCCCATGCAATTTTGTTATATTGCTCAATTGTTAAGGAAACTCAAGACCTGAAGAACCCCTGGGGGGTTCAAAATGGGGTTTAATTTGGCACTACCCAGTACACATGATAGTACTACACCTCTGTATCATTAACTTATGTAATACTATATGGGAAAACCTGAAAAACATTAAGCTTCATAGAAAGGTAAGCTTTGCTGCACACTTGAGACTTTATTGTGGAACTTCCAGAACTACAAAAGCTTGTGGCATAGAAAGAGAGCACCTTATGGAATCCCTGAATAAAGAAATTGTATATATTATTTCTATTGCAATGTATATCAGCAGCATAACAACAGAACTGTTCAAATCCAGGCTCTGTTCCATATTCATGTCCATCCATTCACAGGCACCACTGATGCTGCAAACACTTGCACCATCTATGGTTTTCTTGCAATATCAATAACTGTTTGATTTACTGCTTCCCACTAACGAGCATCTAGCAAAATTTCAAATGATTAAACAACAACAAAATACCTACAAGGACATGTGAAGTACAGGATAGCCTGTGTGAAACTAGATCCACTTTTTGACCTTGTGACATGGAAAAATAATCCTTCAGCAGAAGAATGCCAATAGCTAAATTCACTGGGCACTGGTGAGTAGCAAGTGGTTCATGGCTGGGTGTGGTCCTTGCTGCCTCCCAGTACAGGCCCCACTGCTCCTCCTCTCAAAGAAGCTGGAGGAAAATTAAAATGTGATGGCAAACAGCTAGGAAAGCTTACTCAGTAAGCAGGAGAAGGGCTATAGCTCAGTGTCTCTGGTCATGTCACTCAGTGACACTGGTCATGTTCGCTTCCTGACATCTCTGAATAAAGCTGAGAAATTCTTTGACTGAAACTCTGAGGAGCTCTTTCCAGTAGGCGAAACTGCCCAAGACAGGCCAATGGCCTGATATTCCTAATACCAGAGATCATGTATTCTTCAACACTTCATTATAGCAGTTGCATTTATTGTTCGCTTGTTTACTTCTCTGTTTGTACTCAAAGGATCTCAGGGTTGCACACCTGGTATCTCCATCTATTTTTATCTGAATAAAATTGATTTCATGACACTGTTTCTCCACTCTGTAAACAATATAGTCAGGGCCAAGCAACATGTCATGTCAAACTAACCTTGCTTTTAAACTTATGTTTTCACATCCAAAAATTTCAGCTTAATGCTATCCTTGTTTACTTGGACAAAAACCCCACAGAGCTCAGTGGAATTTTCATGTTTTGGATGGTTAAGATAGACCCAGGACTGAACAGTCAGAAAGCTGCTTTGCATGCCAACTTCACACCAAGCAAGTTCATTACCACTTGCCAAATAATGACCCAGCATTGATTCATTCATTGGTTTTTCAGGTTGAAAGGAAACGATGAAGTAACCCTTTCCTTTACACTGTACAGACATGTTTTCAACTGGTAAAATCACAAGTTGCCACAACCTAGGAACTCCTTGTGCTCCAGAGTCTGCATGTAGACTCTAACCCTGTACCCAGTTTCCTGACAATAACCTCAACAGTTGTTCTGTATACCCCATTTCCAGCTTTTGCATCTTTCCCCCGTTCTAAAACATTGACATGCCTCTCCAAGGGGTCCGTGTCTGGCAGCACTTTTAGCTAAAATAGACTTAAACTAAAGATACTGTATTGGTTCCCCCCTCCCAACACTGAAGTGCAGCTCCCACCCCCCAAGAGTGACTCAAAACTGACTGTGGTACTCGGACTGAAAAAGGTTCACCACGCCTGCCAACCCTTGTTTACTCAAAATGAAGCCCCGGGAGAATAAATATAGTATTATATTGAGAGCTCTAATATATACAAAAAAATAGGCAGCAAAGAAAACAATTCATCAACATTGTTCCATACAAACAAGTCTCTCCAGCAAATAGTTACACTGATCCCTTCATTTTCACATCAGTCAGAGTCCAAAGAACTTAGCAGAAGTGATTGGCTATGGTCACTCACAACCAACATCTGGATTGCTAACATTAGGTAATAAATTTCATTTGGAATTTTCATACATTTTGGCTGGTATTTTAAAGAGGTTAGTTCTTTAAAAGGAAAAAGGACGATTTCATGCTGACAACTTCTACAGAACACTAGGGTTGGGAAATATTCCTCAGGTCTGCTCTTTAAGTGATGACAAAACTCCTGCAATTGCTTACAGACTTTGCTGGCACGTCATCTCAAAAATACCGCTTATACATTTGCCTCTCGCCAACAATATATTAGAAATATTCAGCCTAACTTTGGTATGTCATGGTCAATTTCACTTCAAACGGGCTTTGCAAAAGGTGAGGAAACAAGGAGAAAGAGAACTAATACATTTAAGAGAAACAGCTTATGAACAATCTGCTTGAGGGATGCACATGTACTTAAAATGCAGCTCTCCTTCCAAGCAACACTGCAGTTGCTGAATTGCCTGCCTCTAAATCCTCACTGCCTGGGCAAAACAGTATGTATATAAAACCAGTTTTGCAAAGTGGCACTGAACTGAGGGAGAGGTGCAGAGGGCATTTTGCATAGCAGCACTTTCTAAGTCGCATCCCAGGGAACCTTGCAGGCTGCACTGAGCAGGTCAGCATTTACAGGGTTAGATGGGACCCAAGCCATCCGCAAAGACCCTTCCCCACCACAAGAGTTCCCACGGTATTCTAGGTCAGACCAGTACTTTACACGAGTACAGAACAGGGGTTGGCAACTTTTTGGACCATGGGTACATTTGGCAATTTGTGTGGTTGGCATCAGAGGCATGGTGAAGTAAGTAACCTGTCCAAAAGCTTTGGGTGCAAAGCAATGATGGGGCTTGAGCTCCAGTGCAGTAAACATCTCCTCTGAACCCACAGTTTAAAGCACCACCAGGAACTGTTTCAAAACAATCCCAACTGCTGGTCAGAAAGTGCCCCCTTTCTAGGGAAAAGGAGTTAGGCAACTCTTTTCCTAGGCTATTTCTTTTTAATTTGAATAACTGGCACAACTGGGCTAAGGAAATTACTAATATTGCATGGCCTACGCCCAATGCCATTACCCAAAATGTCATTAAAGAAAAACAAATTCTTACCCAATGTGATTGGTTCTCAAAGAAATTTCTAGTTCTCGTAATACTTGTGTAGATTCTTGAACTCTTCTCCTAAATTTCTGCAATTTTCAAGGGACAAAATAATACTTGAGTGTAACTTAGATTAACAAAACATGATACATGACTGAAAAAAGACAAAAAAATCTTTAAAGACATTGAAACACATTAAGATAAAAATCCTGAAGAACTCCATGCTGATCAGACAAGCAGAAGAATATACTTTAAAAATAACTTTTGTACTGAAAAGTTAAATATGGATAATATTTTAATATATCCTGGGCTGGACTTACAAATCCTTACAAAGTGCAGGACTGCAACACTGCATAGAGTGCCTCTCCTGGCATTAGCATATTCATATACTACATTTCTCATCTAAGGCCTTTCTCCACATTACTCCTCCAGAGACAGGTCCTTCTCAGGGATGGCCCCTTCCCAATTCATGGAATGACCTCCCAGGCACCGATTCAAGACATTTTCTTCTCTCCGGCATTTGGCAGAATATGATAAAGTTTTAATCAGATCTTGAATTGCTCTTGATGGTACTTTTTCAAAATTGTTTTTAGAATATGTGCATCCTTCTATGTTGCATGCATATATATTTGTATGTATATGACTTTTATAATATATTTTCAAAGGTTTTCTTCTTTGTAAATGCCGTACAGAGCTCCAGCTATCAGTGGTACAGAAATGAAATCAATAAAATGAAAGTGAAAAACAAATGTACAACATGCCCAAGACATTTAGAAATTAGAATCTATCTTTTATCTGAATGCTTTTCCCCAGTCAAACCATCCTGACTGTTATTCATGCAGAGTAACTGAAGGAACTTACGTCTACATATGACCACTTACACTGCAGATGAAAACCTTGGTCACCTGAGCATAAACTCTTTCAGGTACTTAAAAGTCATTGTTGGATTTGAACTTGAGGCCCAGGTGCGCTCTGTTCTGTAACCCATAAACAATGCGGTGGGCCATTTCACTCAACATCAGTAAAACTTCATCTTATGCCGGCCCCCACAGGATTTGTAATACCCATCAATTCTTTGCCTAGTGAGCCGAAAAGACAGCCTTCAGCCATATGATGGACTGAACTTTCACTTTAAAACAAGAGTGCTGTAAGAAGCATTTCTAAGTCTTAGCTGTGCCTCCGTATGGCCAACTGGGAGAGGGAGAGGGGCACAGGCACAGAGACCTGGCCTACTTATATATGCTATCAGTGGAATCAGGCAGTCCAATTTTTCCTGGACTGTATCACTTCTGGCTACATGTCTTTTAGAGGGAACAGGGAGAGAAGAGTGTATGTGTGAATGCTGCATCCCAAGAAAAATTCCATACACTTCTCGGCACTTCCATGCTTCCAGATGGTAAGGAGCGAAAAGGGACATGCTGCATCAACAGCCAACTTGCCTTGTCCATTCCCTTAGTTGTCCTTTCTTCTACTTCCTCCCTTGCATCTCTTCCAACCACATCTATAACTCTACCTCATGTCTTTGCGTACTTTAGGCAATGTTTGTAGTGAAAAGATCTTAGGCAGCCTTCTTCAACTATGTGTAACATAGCAGTAATAAAATAAGTCGATTCAAATTTTTCCTAAACTGGTCCTTGTCAATATGTATTCCCTCTTATACAGAATGCAGTTCCATCAGACTTTCTGTATACAAGGTAACTGCCATAAAGCATGCACACTTTCAAACAAGGAGAACCATAAAATGCCCCCTAACACACAAATTTTCTGTGCACGAGGAATTATGTTTCAGGTTTATGGAGGAGACAGACAGCATCCAAACACAGATTACATTCCAATCACCACCTGCTGCCACCATCGCCAGTAAAAAGTGGTACAAGAGCCCCACGAAAATTTCTCACACCTACTAGGCTGGTTTTATAAACTGGTCTAAAGTGAGAAGACAACATCTTACCTTCCTTGTTACAGCTGGATCAAGGTAGCCTTTTAATTTCTGTATATATGTATGGGGAGGATTCTTGACTTGAAATCTTTCCTGCAAGGAAGATGAGCATCATTAGCCATTCAAATAGATACCAGATATGTATTACAGCTATGCACCATAATTAAATATGTCACACTTCATTGCTTTTCACTATTTAAATAATATTTTAGTTTTATGTTATTTACACATTGAAAATTGCAATAAAGGACCAGGAGACCAAGTGCTCTTGAAAAATTAAGCATACCATAATTAAAAATAAGCTACGGTTCTGCAAGTTAGCAGTACCACTTCCTCTGTCATTTCATCCCGTAGAGTAACAATGTGTTTTGTGAAGAACACAGAAGAGTGACTGAGAGAAAACAAGATTATGGATACTGGTGTTCTCAACTTCAGCTTGTAACTTTTCAGGTTTTGCATTCTGAAAACCAGGAAGCAGGAGATGGAGCAGCAGCATGACTCAAAATCACTCTCATGGGAGTCATTACGAGCTTCTACTTTATATGACTTCCTACCTTCCACAACTGGGTGCTTGCCAGATGTTTTCAACTACAAGTCTCATCATCTCTAACCACCAGCCATGCTAACTGGACAGTGGGGCTGCATCTTCTTGGGGAAGGCTGCCTTACACTGTATTTCTTTTTTTGTTCTTGTATATTACGACTGTAACTGAAAACTTTCAACTTTGATCTACTGAAATTGATATTAAAATGACTAATTCTGAGTATTTTCCTGGCAGCAGCCTCTTCATGGTTGTTAATTGTTTTATAATCATTCGGGGGGGGGGGGACTCCATTTCCTTACTCTAAAGCTCTTGTTTTTAAAAGAGATTCTAGCATTCCTCCCAAGTACAAGGACTAATTACCCAAATCACTACCTTCAAAAAAAGGTTGCCTGCAATATGCCAGTATTTGTACAATGAGACAAAGGTTTAAATAAGGGAGAAATGACCCTATGTTAGTCTGTTCTGCTCTTTTTCTCCCATCTTCTCTGTTCTTTTTTAAATCTCTCTTGCTTACTTTAATGCTTGACAATTGTCTTGAAAATGAACTACAAGAATATGATATAGAAGGAAAAAAGACATTGAGAAAAATAAGAAAATAGCATCCATAAGCAAAGAAAATATTCAATATTCAATCAGAAAAGTGCTTTTATTTGCTATGTAACTGTTCTGAAAATCCAATGAAAGGCCATCCACTTTCTGCTGCAAAAAATGAACACCAGGAATTGTAATTTGAGAAGATGATTAGAATCCTGCTGTATACATCTAGTGCTCCTCTGTCCTAAAGCAGGGCAAGCACCCTTACCTTCCCTATCCTAGAGAGGAGATGACTATTAAACCACTTTGTTACATGCAGGGGAATCCAGCGGCAGTCATAGATCTTATTCACTCAGTATTGTTGTTTCTACAATCTTAACTATGCATCACATCAGGAATCAGTGGTTATTGCCAGCTCAATAAAGCTTCCCCATAGTGCTATAACAAAATGCTGTCCCCTAAGTTAGTTCTCAGGTTGTTGAAGGTTATTATGACAATGTGTGGCTGCAGCGTAACACCCCACCTTAAACACCTATATGCTTGTGGGACCAAGCCTGCTACGCACACATAAGTTGAGGTTAAGTCCACTGCACTCAACAGAACTCACTTCCAAGTCAACAGGCGTGAGTTGGAGATGCGAGTTTAATTCTTGTCTTAATGCTCTAAAACATGCTGCTACAAAGCAAACAGTTTTCTGCCTCAAGAATGCCCAACTCCAGAAAGGCAAAAAACATGAACCATTTCCTATAATAAGATTTGCTTTCTTGGCCCTATCACTAAGGCTATCTAAAAGCTTTCTCTTTGTTTATATGCTAATTTTATAATTACATATTATTACAATGTATGCCACTTCTCTGTTAACACTTCTTAACTGTTTGCTTATCTTCTGTACATATGCATTAAATTCAGAATACCAAATTACAATTACACATTCTGTTTATGTCAACAGACACTTCCTGCACATTAATAGGTTTATCGTATTTCTATCGACCCGCCATGAGCACTCTGTAAAGAGTAAATATTGTTAATCACACCCTATCTGAAGATTGAAACAGAGCTCTTATTATTTCCTTAATGCAACGAATGAGTCACAAATTATACAGTATTTAATACCCACTTACATCTGCACCTGTTGGCATCCATTATAATGTATGTGCCTTTTACTTTGTTACAGAATTTCATCTTTAACCCTATGTGAATGTTTCCATACATCAAAGAACTCTCAGTAGTTTGCTTTCATGTAAAAGCCAGTATGGTATACTGGTTAAGGCACTAAACTGAGTCTCAAGAGGTCTGAGTTCTAGCCCTCACTCAGCCATGAGGCTCACTGGGTGACCTTGAGTGAGTCAGTCATTCACAGACCAATCTACCTCACAGGGTTGTTGTGAGGACAAAATGAAAAGCAAGATGATCACGCAAGTTGCCTGGGGTTCCTTGAAGGAAAGGGGGGATATATACAAACATATATAAAGAATAATACTGTACATGAAATACAAGCATGCAGGCATACTATGCTCTAAGATTGCATATTACCCATATGAAGAAATACAACAGAAAAGAGCAGGTTGCTTACCTGTAACTGATGTTCTTCGAGTGGCCATCTGTGCATTCACACATATGGGTGCTGTGCCTGCGAAGTGCCTAGGCTGGAAGATTAGAAAGCTAATGGTTTTTGGCGGGAAAACGCTCCGCTCCCCTCCCCCCTGCAGTATAGAGCAGAGTGTCCGCCATTTACTCAGTCTTGAAGACCGACGTTCGCCCCCTAACATTCGAAAAACAGCATCACAGCAAGAAAAATCGGTACTGTAGGAATAACATGGAACCGATAGTAAGAAAAACAGTCCACTCACTGACACCATGCGGGGCCGGCGGGTGGGTTGTGTGAATGCACAGATGGCCACTCAAAGAACATCAGTTACAGGTAAGCAACCTGCTCTTCTTCGTCGTGGCCTCTGTGCATCACACATATGGGTGATTAGCAAGCTTACCAGACTTGGAGGAGGGAAGGTGTCGTCGGTGAAGAATGACAGAGAGCACAGCTCTACCAAAGGAACAATCCCTTCTTGCGCGTACATCAAGCCGATAATGCTTGGCGAAAGTACATGGAGCAGCCCAAGTTGCAGCCTTGCAAATATCCTGAATTGGAACCCCTGCTGCAAAGGCCGACGAAGTCGCTACTGCTCGCGTAGAATGCCCCCTCGAAGTGAGGGTAAGTCAAGCTTTGCCAATTGATATGCTAGGACTATGGTCTGCACAATCCATTTGGACAGTCGCTGAGATGAGACTGGAGAGCCCTTGTCATGATCAGCATACTTGACAAAAAGTCTATTGGAATTCCTGAACGCTTCTGTGCGAGACCTGTAAAAGGCTAGACAGCGCCTAACATCCAGCGTATGGAGAGAGCGCTCAATTGGAGTGGACGGAGATGGAAAAAATGCAGGGAGGACGATGTCTTGGTTCAAATGAAATGGTGTAGCCACCTTGGGAAGAAACTCGGCGTCCATTCAGAGAATGACTTTTTCCTTGTGAAAGTTCAAGAACGGTGGGTCTATGCATAAAGCACACAGTTCACTGGCTCTTCTGGCTGAAGTAACTACAACAAGGAAGGCAGTTTTCCATGGCATAAATTCCATGGCGTAAAGTAGGCATAAATCCACTGTTGTCAAAGGTTCAAATGGAGGTTTTGTAAGGGCCTGAAGTACAACAGAAAGACCCCACGTCGGCATAACAGGTCGAACTGACGGGTGCAAATTTTGTAGCCCTTTAAGGAAACGGCTAATCAGGGGTTGAGAAAAAACAGACGACCCCTGGATGCTGCCATGAAAATGCGAGATAGCAGCCGTATAGATCTTTATAGATGAAGGCTTGAGTCCCGAGCGATGAAGGTCGAATAGAAATTGCAAAATATTCTTGATTGAAGCCGACTCTGGAGAGAAGAAACGGGCATTGGCAAAGGAAGAGAATCTTCTCCACTTTGCTGAATACGATTTGCGTGTGGAAGGTCGTAGTGCAGAATCGAGAATTGCTTGGATATCCGAGGATAACACTATCATCCCGAAATGGACCTTGACGGTTCTAAGGGAGGAGTTGATTGGGACGGCAACGGAGCCGATGGAAAATTCAGATCTATCGGAAGCACCATGCTGTTAGTTTCAGCGAGAGTAGGTCCGGGTGTCCGACTGTTCCATTGTGTTGTGTTAACAGATGAGGAACAAGTGGAAGTTGTCAAAAAACTCCTCTGGACTGAGTGAGGAAAGTGGTGAACCAGGGTTGCCTTGGCCACCATGGGGTTATCAGAATTCCTGTGGCATTGTCGTGCACGATCTTCGACACTACCCTCATGAGGAGTGGGATTGGAGGGAATGCGTAGAAGAACAGGTTGTTCCAGTCGATCGTTAGGGCATCTCCCCTCGAGTCCAGTCCCAGCCCCGCTCTGGAGCAGAACAGTTCGCACACCCTGTTCAACCGGCTCGCGAACAAGTCTATATCCGGTTGTCCCCATAACTGGAACAGCTGGTTGCAAACCACTTGATCCAACTCCCATTCATCGGTAGTTGACATCTGTCGGCTCAGTGCATCGGCTTCTACATTGTCGGTTCCCGCAAGATGAACCACCAGCATCGTGATGTCCCAAGCAATGCACCAGTCCCAGATTTGCATTGACAAACGGGCCAGGAGAGGTGACTTTGTCCCACCCTGTTTGTTGACATAGAAAACAGCAGCTATGCTGTCGGACGCAATCTGTACAACTTGGCAGTGTAAGACGGTTTCAAAATATTTGAGAGCATTGAAAATCGCTAGAAGCTTGAGGAAGTTGATATGCCTTGCCGCTTCCCGTCAGGTCCATGCCCCTTGGACCCGAAGTCCTGCACATGTCGCACCCCATCCGATGAGAGACGCATCAGTGTACACTGTCACTGTTGGTTGGGGTGGGCGGAACGGAAAGCCTACAGATAGGTTGCGTGAAATAGTCCACCACGTCAGGGTGTGAAGGATCGAAGATGGAATCTGCAGA